TTTTCCCGTCCGTGTGTACGCGGGAGAATCACCTAGTACATATATATATAGACAATTTAATAAGATACTAACTTTTTCATGAAGTTCCACGTACCATTTACTTATTCAAAATCAAATTAATAATGTTTTTAGTATTTTTTAAAAAGCTAGTTGACCAAAAGAAAAAAAAACTAATAATTTGCTTTGAGTATTTTGAAAATAACCCACTCTACAATCTTTGTTTAAAAAAAAAGAAAGATAAATGCTCACTTTTTTAAGGGACAGTTACAAAAATGTCATTTTTTGTATGCATATTTGCAAGAATGCCACTTAGAGGTGTCCATTTACAAAAATGCCACTAATTATAGATTTATAAAGCCTATATCTTAAAATTCTAAACCATAAAAAATGTTTTGACACCTAAAACCTCCTAAACATTCAAAACTAAACCCTAATAGAACATAATTAACCCAAACATAAATAATATAAAGAAAAAATAATTTTGAAAAAGTGGCATTTTTGTAAAGATTTCAAAAGTGTGGCATTTTTGTAAAGTGACATTTGAAAAATGGCATTTTTTGAAATTTCTCCTTTTTTAAAATGTTTACGGGAGTTTTACCTTTTTCTTGCGGTGTCTTTCAAATATAAAATTTTATTCTTTAATTCACCAATATATTTATGCTTTCTTTTCGTTTGCAAACTGGATGTTTTGAAACTAATAAAATTTTGGAAGTAATCAAGTGCATGTTTCAAATATTCTCATTCGTCACAATTAAAATCATTTGATACTAATTTTTAAATCTTTGGAAAAAGTTAAAATTTTCTTTTTTCAGAAATTTGTTTTTTCTTTCACTGAAAAAACTCTTTAATGATTTATGTTTTTACAAAGTACCAATGAACTGAACTCACATTGTTCTTTAAAAAAGCTAAATCTATTAGATTAATTTTCGAAAAATAAAAAATTGAATGTGGGTGTTTGTTTTGGAAACTAGTGTTTCCATTATCCATAACTACTAATACAATCATAATATTCAAGAACATAAAACTGACACTATCTCAAGATGAGGACATAAGCATCTATTAATTACAAGGGCATCACAAACAATGTAAAAATGCACTGACCCAAAACCAAGTGATAGAGATCTGGACACCTAATCAAACAATTCCAAACAAAGATAACCTAGTTATGTTCGTCATGTGTTTCATTTTAGGTGTATGGTTCAAAAAATTGTATTCCAACGGTAAAGAAAGAGAATTGATAAGCCATAACATCAAATCGGGTTGTTTCTATACTCTCTCTAAGAGAACAAACACAACACTAAACAGTACTC